CTTTGGGAGGCCAAGGTGGGCAGATCTTCTGAGGTCGGGAGTTCGAGACCAGCCTGACCAACATGGAGAAACCCTGTCTCTACTAAAAATATAAAATTAGGCAGGCATGGGTGGTGCATGCCTGTGGTCCCAGCTACTCAGGAGACTGAGGCAGGAGAATCACTTGAACCTGGGAGGCAGAGGTTGCTGCAGTGAGCCGAGATCGTGCCATTGCACTCTAGCCTGGGCAACAAGAGCGAAACTTCATCTCAAAAAAAAAAAAAATAATAATTTACAACAGCATCAAAATGTAACGAAACATGTACAAGACATCTATACTGAAAACCACAAATATTTCTGAGAGAAAATTTAAAAGACCTAAAAAGTAGAAATATCCAATGTTTGTGGCTTGGGAAAAACTCAATATTATTATATTGTCAGTTCTTCCCAAATTAAACTGTAGATTAAATTCAATCTCAATCAAAATCTCAGCAGTTTTTTTTTTTCTGGAAATTTGTAAGCAGGCTCTAAATATATATCTAAAAGTGCAAAGGACATAGAAAAAGAAGGCAATTTTGAAGAACAAAGTTAGGGCATTGATGCCCCTAGATATTAAGATGTACTAGAAAACGACTATAGCTTTGCTCTAATTGGATCTTTTCAGGCCAAGTTCCTGTTCCTGAATTAGGCACCATGGTCAGACAGCCCTGAACCCATCAGGCTCTAATTTGGAGCCAGAGGTGGGGTCAGTCCCATCAGAGTGTATGGTATCTACATAATGGGGGAAGAATGCAAGAGCTGTTGAGGAGGCAACCACAGTGTCCACTATGACAACCTTCAGATGCAAAATATTTTTACTGGACCCAAACTTTGATGAATAAGAGTTTGACAGGCACAGAGGAGACGAGTCTCTAGAACAGCTTTCACGGAAAGAGGAGTGTAATACCATGGTATGCTTGGATTAGTAGGAAATTCTGTGTGATGGAGCCTCTGGATGTGGGGATGGATAACAGAAGAAAAGGATGGAAATGGCCAGATGGTGAAGAGCCTCAAGTTCTATTTGAAAGTATTTAGATGTTTTCGTATAGAATTACATAACCAAATATGGTTTTCTTTTTTTCTCTCTCTTTTTTTAAGACAGAGTCTTGCTCTGTCACCCAGGCTGGAGTGCAGTGGCATAATCTCAGCTCACTGCAACCTCCACCTCCCAGGTTCAAGCAATTCTCCTGCCTCCGCCTCTTAAGTAGCTGGGATTACAGGCATATGCCACCATGCCCAGTTTCTCTCTCTCTCTTTCCCTCTCTCTCTCTTTCTTTCTGAGTCGGAATATCACTCTGTCTCCAGGCTGGATTGCAGTGGCGCCATCTTGGCTCACTCCAACCTCCGACTCCCTGGTTCAAGCAATTCTCCTTCCTCAGCCTCCCGAGTAGCTGGGATTACAGGCACGCACCACCATGCTCAGCTTATTTTTGTATTTTTAGAAGAGACAGGGTTTCACCATGTTGGCCAGGATGGTCGTGATCTCCTGACCTCGTGATCTGCCCACCTCAGCTTCCCAAAGTGCTCAGACTACAGGCGTGAGCCACTGCACCTGGCCCAATTTTTGTATTTTTAATATAGACGGAATTTCGCCATGTTGGCCAGGCTGGTCTTGAACTCCTGCCCTCAGGTAATCCTCTCGCCTCAGTACCAAATGTGGTTTTCAAAGACGTATGATAACCTAGAATAGGAAGAGTCAGGGGTAGAAAAACTACAAGGAAGCTGTTTAGAGTTAATAGAGAAATGATGAGGTACTTATCAAGGCAATGGAGACCAGCTGACACTTAAGTGCTGCAGAGGCGCTAAACTTGGCTCTTTTCATGCATGATTTCATCGAATGCTCACAACAAGCACTTGAGAAAGTTTTATCTCCTGATTTTATAGATGGGGAAACAGACCTGGAGAGGTTAGGTAACTTGCTCCAGAGCCACACACCTAACAAGTCGAAGCGTCAGAGGGTTTTAACCCAGGCCAGCTGATTCCAGACCCTGTACTCTTATCAATGATACTAAACAACTAGGTCATGATAGACAGGAAGGTTCCAACCACAGATATTTAGGCGTTTAATTGTTAGGCTTTGGTTGTGGCTGGGATGTTGCTTCCATGAAATAGTACTGCCATGATTTTCTTCTTCCCCTGATGAACCTTTCTCTTTCCTTCACTGGCTCCTCTTAATTATACGTTGGTTTCTGCTCTTTCTTTTCAAAATACTTACTAACTTTTTTGGAGGTGGATTTCTCTAGTAGCTTCCTCTATCAGTGATTTTGTTGATTTGACCCAAATGTCTTATTTCTAATCTCAGTGTCTTAATCACACTCCTGAAGATCATTTTGACTTGTCTGTACTATAATCACCTGAAATCTAGAGCTAAAATTAAACTCATATTTTACTTCAGTTTCTCTTGATGCTTTCTATTAACAGCAAAACTAACCAGACTTCTGGGCTTTAGAAGAATATTTGACTGTAATATTTCTTCACTTTTCACACACTGTCAGGCAACCAACCAGTCCAGTCAATTTTTTAGCATTGCCTTCAACTCATCTCCTCCCTTTCATAACCTTTGCTGCCACTCTGCTATTAGCTTTCAGTAGCTCATCCCTGAATTACTGCGTTTGCTTCCTATCTGGTCCCCTGGTATTTAATCTTCCTTCTATACTCCACCCTGCGTATTACTTTCAAGGAAAAGTCTTGCTCCAACATGGATTTCATAATTTACTTGCCTTATTTGAGAACTACTGATGGCTGTCTATTACCCAACAAATCAAGATCAAGATTACTAAATCAACTCTAACCCGTTCTCTGCCTAAATTTGTGGACCCTGCACTGCCCAGTTTCACTTATTTTATCAATTCCAACTCCTGTGAATTTGAAGTCTCCATTCTAGTCAATTGTCCTTTTACTATAATTTCTTCCCCCAACATCCTCTGTATGTACATACGCACACGCCATGCTCTCTTCCATCTGAACAATTACTAATACTCTTCCCTTGGCCTATAGTGCCCCCTTATTTTTTTTCCAGACCTGTATCCCAAATGACTGTTTCCCTGACGACTTAAAAAAAACTTACATCTCCCTCCTCCGACTTCTTGGCTTATTACCACTGCCAGAGGAGAGAAGTATCTGTTCTTGTATTCTCCAAATGTCTCCGTTAAACCATATGACACTTTATCGTGTTAATAAAGTTGTTTAATTCACTAGTCCAGGTATATATCTTATTTTTTCCAACAAGATAACAAATTCTAATGTTCATTTTAAACTTATGTCTTCTACCTTTTTGTATTCATAATGTCAATGATAATACTCAGTAAATTCCCATCACTGGTTGAAACTATAAACACATGTATTTTTATGCTGCATGTATCCCTGTAAGCTTACTTCATCTGAATAATAGTAAAATGTAGTTACTGTTCTCTTTTTTTAAGGGGCTGTTTCCTTTATAGAATTGAAAATTCAAATACTCCCAAATGTGTAAGACATTTTGCTTTGTATATTCAAACCACACTAAAGTTATACCTTTTAGGGTAATATTTTTAATTATTATGGAGGAAAAAACAGAAAGCCCCTGAAGGCTAACAGTTTGAAATTGAACGGGACACCCTGGGAAGGGAAAAGGTCATGGGTCGTGGTCAAACAGACAAAAAACAATGGAGACGATTGTGCCTGAAGATGGTGTATTTTTTTTCACAAGACAGTGTGTTGACAGTTTCCTTCCTCTTGAGTCATTGTTGTCTGCTAAATGATCTGTGACAGCAAATTGATCACAAGCTTTTTCATGCAGGAGATATAATGCAGCCTTTCATTTTGTTACCTCTGTTGCCAAATGCTGAGACACTTCATTGGCAAATTCATGTTAGTTTAGTATATCATTTAGTCGTCTACAGCACAGCATGCAGCTCTGGAAACAATAATAGTAATGATTAATTTATCTTCCTCAAGTTTCAAATTTCTACTTAAGTGTGATTGTAAAAGTAATAATACATTCGAAAAATGTTAGTCTTAAAATTAGGTATGCATAATTGTTATTTAAATAAATTAGTGAATTAACACATTAAATAATACCTCATTAATTTAAAAGTTGAGTCAAATAGTTAATTTAAGGTACCTATGATTTACCTATAAAAACTAATGCTAATATACTTGTTCTGACTGAAAACTTGCTCCTTCTTCCAAAGAGCTAAGAACTTAAATTGGAAAACAGGCATAAGGCATATTGCACTGGATGTTTAAGCATCTGTTACAGCCAGTTAATTAGTGATTTCACATGTCTGAAAAAATACACTAAGTAATGTTTTGTTTATAGAGTGTTGAGAATCTCTGCATTTTAAAAGTTTGTGGGAAAAATGCTTGGAAATGCAGTTATTTAAGGGACTGCTTTATAGTTTTCATTTAACACCTTATAACAACCTTTGCTCTCCATTAGGACATAGTAATATTAGCACAGGGAGGGGAAAGTAGCAGCCAGGAGTATTAGAAAAGAGCTGTTTTTCTCCTCTTTGAAAATAGCCAGATTCTCTGTAAAAACTAAACTAATCTCAATTCTAATACTTGTATTCTGTCCTCATTATAAGAAATAAGGGCTTTTTTTTACTAGAATTTGGCATTGAATTTCAAGAAAAATGTTTATTGTTTCTTATAGAATGAGAAATTGAAAGGTATAATGCTTTGCTTAAAGTTCTTTTTTAATGTTAGTCATGAAAGGCAGATATCTTAAACCCATATTTTTCTTTTTATAATATGCACATGGGTCCATATTTACATTTATTATTGAAAAGTGGTTGGGACATTTTCTTTTTCGTTATTTGTATTCATTATTGGTGGAATTAATATACTGGATACAATTGTTAAAAATACATGTTACGATTTGCAAGTCAGTTTAATATCTTGTGACAAGATGTTATGTGAACAGTCGGTATAGCAATACAATAATTTTAAAAAGAAAATTTACAAACTGCCCATTGTCTGATTTTTATTTATATTTTCAGACCAACTAAAACAACCTCATTTAGTGATTACTACCAGGCATGGTCCAGAATAGCTACATCAAAAGCCACAGAATACTACAGAACTGCATGTAAGGTGAACTATCCTTATCCTATGTCCTTTTGGTATATGTTAATCTGTTAACATTTATCTTGCTTTCAAAGACTAATTGACACACATCTGCTATGTAAGAGTGATAAATTTCTCTGTAGGCTGTATATACTATTCATTCAACAACTATTACTTTAGTTCTTTTTTAAAAAAATAATTTAATTTTAATTTTTTGTCTCAGAGACAGGGTCTAACTCCATCATCTGGGCTGGAGTGCAGTGGCACAATAATAGCTAACTACAGCCTCAAACTCCTGAACTCAAGCGATCTTCCTGCTTCAGCCTCCTGAATAGCTAGGATTATAGGCAAAAGCCACCATGCATGGCTAATTTTTTTATTTTTACTTTTTAGAGATAGTGGTCTCACTATGTTGTCCAGGCTGGTTTGGAACTCTTGGCCTCAAGCAATCCTCCCGCCTCAGCCTCTCAAAGAAGAATACAAAGTTCTTTTGTATAGAGCCCTGGACTGAAGTCTGATTAAAAGCCAGAAAGAAAGATATTCAATTGGAAGAATAACAGAAAAGTTCTCAATCTTATGAGGTTCACTTTACTTCCTTTACCCTACAGAAAAGCTTTCACACCAGAAAGAACCTTTTTATTTCTCCTCTAAGCCACAGGAAATATTAGGTAGAAATTCAGCAAGAAAACCTAAGAACATAGGGCTGTTCAATTATATCCATCGAAAAGGAAAAATCATCTGTTACCATCATACATCAGGAACTAGAAAGACAGAATGAGAGAGCTGGACAACTTTCTGGCTCCATTTAATTGGATCTTTAGAGTACTATTTCATTATCTGGATGAAAGTAGGTTGTCCAGTCTGCATACACTTACTGAAATATGACTTTGCTCCAGCCATCCTTCTAAAATGGTGCATCCTGTAGTAGCAGAGACTTCTGAATTCCCAGATGCAGTGATTACGTTTTAGTCCTCTTCTTACTTGCACTCTCATTAGCTGTGCTCTCCTTGATTTACATGATACCATACATCCATGGCTTTTCATTTCTCTTCCTAAGCACTCTGCTGCCTCTTCCCTTGGCAATATCTTCTTCCTTCAGTCCTCTCTACTTACTCTCTCTGAAAGACCTCTTCCACTACCATGGTTTTCATTTGCCTACAGGCCAGTGATTCCTAAAGCTGCATCTCTAGCCAGACCCCTCTTTCGAATTTTACATGCATATTTATAACTGTGCAGGGGACATCTCACCTATTTGTATTATAGGCTTCTCGTATTCAAGATGTCTCAAAGTGAATTCATCATCTTGCCCCCGAATCTATCCTTCTTCTTTTATTCCTTCTCTTGGTTAGTGGTAGATCACCATTTTTACATTTTCTTACCGAAACCAGAATCTTAGATGTTTCCTACATCTCTTTATCTCTCTCATTAAACCTTATTGATTTTATCTCCTGCAACATTATGAATGCTTCCACTCTACTACACTCCCATGACCACTGTCTTAATTTGAGGTCTCATTATATTTCATCTCATCATTATGATAGTTTCCTATCATGAAAAATAGTGTCAACTTTTAAGGTACAAATGAGGGCAAAAAATAGTACTAAGCTTAATAAATATCCTTAAAAGGTAAATTCAATCAATAACTTTTAAGAAATCACATGTTCTTTCAGGAGGTTGGCTATTAATTATTTTGTGATTATATATTACCATCCTAACTCATAGGTCAAAACAATTTAAGGTACATCGAGATCTACAATCTTTAGCAGCTCTCTCAGTATAAAATATTAATTATTTTTGATACCAGAGTATTTGAATGGTTAATTCAGATCAAAGATTTGTTGTTGAATGCTGCCTAGTCAATTCAGCAAACACATCTGCTGTGTGTACCTACTATGTATGAGGCACCGAGCAGCTCATACAGGCTGCAGGGGCAATAACCCTTAATTACACAAACACTGTGTTGAGAGACATTAATTGGCATACTCTAGGGAACCACTCAGAATCAAACTCCTTCCACCAAAAAACAGATTGTTACAGGATGGTGCTTTCTAGAATAACATGTAAATATATAGGGCCACTTGGAAACTCCAAACTGCTAGAGGAAAAGAAAAAACCAGAAGCATGTGCCAAAACTTAAAGAGATTTGGAAATAACTGTCTTGCAATAAAGAATAATTTTAAAATGGAAGGAAATAATAAGGCACCACTGACCACAGTTTCTTCCTCAAAAAGAGTTTGGCCCCCAAATGTTTAATTTTGTTGTTTCTACATCTTTCACTAACCTCGTATGTAATTCATCCCTGTTTGTAAAGGCAATAACTAGTCATCGTTATCTCTAGCCCAAATGAATTTCTGAGACTTTGAATCTAGCACTTGGTGAATGATTTCACAATTACCCTGCCTCTTCTTCCCCTAGGGAATTGTTATAAGAATGTTTCAAGAGCTTTCCTTGAATAATAACCAGCACTTAATTTTAAAAAATTAAATGTAAACTTTACATGTGCTGCTGGCCATTTTATCTTTTGATAGTTCAGCTGGATGAGATCCAACACTATCTTTTTTAATGGCCTAATTTCCTGGCAATAATAAAGATGAAGCTTTTAGATTATAGAATGCTTCTTCAACAACTCAGAAATAAAAGAGAAACTTCTAATAACTTCATTTTCTACAGTTACATTCTTAGCATTGGAAAGATTATTAAACTCTTTACATATTTTTAAGAGCTTTATCTTTTATGAGTAGTGGTAAGTAGTTAAATTTTGATTTGGGGCATTAACTCTTTTCCCTATCTTGTGCCAAAAATCTATACATAGTCATTGGCATCATCATAATAGTAAGTTTATTCTTGTATAATGCAGTTTATGAAGTATGCTCATATATACTTTTAGGCATTCCAATCTATCATTGTTTTATTCATTTATTCAACCAATATTATTAAACACCTAATATATGTCGTGCACGGTGGTATAACAACCCTACGTGCCAGGCACTATTGTTATTATCACTTTGTTTTAAGATGAGAAAACTAAGACCAGAAAAGCTAAGTAATTTGCCTAAGGTTACACATGTGAGGGGAATATCATATGTTGGTAAAGAATACACATCCTGGAGTCGGATTGACCAGAGTTTCATCCTGTCTCTGCCATTTACTAGCTATGTGACTTTGGTTGAGTTTCTTAACCTCTCTGTGTCCCAGTTTTCTCATCCATACAATGAGAATAATCACAGCACATGCTTTATAGGGTTGAAGCACTGTAGTGAGTTCTCAATAAGTGAACAATAATTTCTCAATAAGTGTGTTATCAATTAATTCGGTAGGCTGTGGTCCAGAGACTTGAATCACATCTTCTCACTGCACGTTTGTTGCTCTTTCGCTGATACTCTACTGCCTCCATAATATGACATCAAATTGTTATCTCTGTATGTATAGGATTTAAATTCAAACTTGGAAGTACAGGCAGCATATTTGTAAATAATTATAATTTTTAGTTCATAAGCATAGGCAATCGTATGGAAAATGTACCAAGAATCCACTGTTCTCTCTCCATTGCTATAGAATGGCAAGTAAAATGTTTGGCAGAGAACAAGCCAATACATATGGTTGTGGGCAACAGAGCCTTAATGACAGAATATGATCCCCATAAGGAAATGTTTATGTTAGAGGAAAAGAATTCCTCCAGACCAGTGTACTCTGTAATACTGAGCCTAGGCTTCCTGATGTTTGTTTGCTGTCATCAAGACAGACCAAACAGCCTGAAGCATGATGGGGATGTTTTCTTCACCCTAGGAGACTTTTATTCTTTGAGTCTTTTAGCCAGCAGTAAAGGCAAGTGTCTCTAAAACACATTTAGATGCAAGAAGCAGTATCATCTGACTCTAATGCAGTGGTTCTCAGTCTTGACTGCTCATTAGAACCACCTGAGGAGCCTGTAAAAATTTCAGTATAGAGGGCTGACCCAAGACCAATTACATCAGGATCTCTGGGAGTAGGACCAGGCAGTAGTAGTTTTTAAAGCTCCCCAGGTGACTACAATGTGCAACCAAGGCTGGGAAGGTCCTAGTGGGAAGAGCATGATGTCAGAAGTTAGAAACTCCTTAGCCCTGTATCAGTTTTGCCACATGAAGATAAGTGAATTTAAGGTAGTCACCTAACCCTTTGTACTTTGGTTTTCATTTCTATTGATTGACAAAAATATTCCATCCTACTGTATGTTGCTCTGTGGTTAGCATGAGATAGCATGTGTGAAAATAGAACATGCTGAGGCAAGTTGGTGCTATTAATTTTTTTGGATGTGACCATCCTAGCTGTGGAAAAAAAAAAATTCAGGGCAACCTCTACAGATGTTGGATGAGAGGTATACCACAGGAAAAAAGAAGCAGAGTAGAAGCTATGCCCTGGAATCTGCAGAAGGCACAACAGAAAAGGAAGAACTATATTGTGGATGCAATAGAGGATGCTTTCCTACCACAGATTACAAAACTGCCACGAATGCAAGATATCATCGTGATGAAGAAATTTCAGCGTGCAAAACTTCTGCTAAAATTACATGATTCCTTTCTTCTCTCTCTCTCTCTCTCATGTCCTCATTCTTTCATTGTTTCTCTCCGATCAGTGTCATTCGTTGAGCACCTTCTATATCTAGACAATTGGCTGTGTGTGGGAGACAAGAAGACACATTGTGGTAAGCTCTTCAAGGAGTTTACGGACAAGTGATAAGAGACAGATGAGTGAAAAAAAATCATAGGGATAAAATATGAGAAGTGTTAAAAGTTTGTACAAAGTACTGTGGCATTTTCATCTCTCGGATGATGGAGAAAGCAATGAAGAAAATGAGTCCATGATATAAAACTAATGGGACTATTCAGGAAAGATGACCGTGTCATTTGGGGTTTCATAATGTATAAGGAAGAGACAGCCATACATATTCAAATGTAAAATGAGGAAAGGCAATCTCAAAAAGTTTAAGAAAAGATGTGAATTATCCTTAAATAGAAACCTCAAAAGGAAATAGCATTCGTGAGAGATTAAATTTTAAATTTTGGCTAAGAGTAATGAAGAGTCCCAATGAGAAGACATTACTCAACCTCTCTATGTCTGCTTGACCATCTGTACAGTGGGTATTCTAACAGTAACCATATCTATTTTACGTGTGCCCAGCGTATAAAAAAAATTTTGGCTGGACACAGCAGGCTCACGCCTGTAATCCCAGCACTTTGGGAGGCCAAGGCAGGTGGATCAATTGAGGCCAGGAGTTCGAGACCAGCCTGGCCCACATGGCAAAACCCCATCTCTACTGAAAATACAAAAATTAGCCTGGCATGATGGCGCATGCCTGTAATTCCAGCTACTCGCTGGTTGAGGCATGAGAATCATTTGAACCTGGAAGGTGGAGGTTGCAGTGAGCCAAGATTGCACCACTGCACTCCAGCCTGGGTGACAGAGTGAGACTATCTAAAAAAAAAAAAAAAAAAGAAAGAAAGAAAAGAAAAATCTGCTAATGTTAATTATTATAATAATCTAAAGGACATAATAAGGCCTCACAAGAACTCTGGGGAGCTAAGATTTACTTTTTTAATGGAAGGGAGGAGCATATATCCAAATACCAATAAAAAGTATTAATAAAGTCTATAAGAATATGTATGTATATGTGCTTACATGTGTTTGAAGCAAGAAAATTAAGGAACAGACAAAAACATTGCTGGTGAAAATCATGTAAAAAAGGAAACTATTCAGTTAAAAAAATTTTTTTCTATCAATGGCAAATGTCATCAAGCTAAAAGGGGTAAATTCATCATTATTAAGAAGAAACCCCAGGCTGGGCACAGTGGTTCACGTCTGTAATCCCAACACTCTGGGAGGACAAAGCAGGAGGATTTCTTGAGCCCAGGAGTTTGAGACCAGCCTGGGCAAAATGGCAAGACCCTATCTCTACAAAAAAAATTAAAATTAGCCAGGCATGGTGTCGTTTGCCCATAGTCCCAGCTACTTGGGAGGCTTCAGTGGGAAGATCCCTTGAACTCAGGAACTGGAGGTGGCAGTGAGCTATGATCATGCCACTGCACTCCAGCCTGGGTGACAAAGTGAGACCCCCATCTCAAAAAAAAAAAAAAAAAAAAAAAAAAAGAAGAAGAAGAAGAAGAAAAAGAAGAAAGCCCCAGACAAGGGCAAGACTGGTGGACAGCATCTAGCTGGTTAAATAGTTCAAGACTATAAGCTAAGCCCAGAACAATAATAAGAAATAGGAAAATAGATAAAGTATGTATGGGCATATGATCTGGCCTAATAATATTTCATGTAAAAATTAACAGTGACTTAAACATAGTAGGTTTTTATAAATTGTTATACTTTAAGTTCTAGGGTACATGTGCACAACGTGCAGGTTAGTTACATATGTATACATGTGCCATGTTGGTGTGCTGCACCCATTAACTTGTCATTTACATTAGGTATATCTCCTAATGCTATCCCTCCCCCCTCCCCCTTCCCCCCACCCCTCGACAGGCCCCCATGTGTGATGTTCCCCACCCTGTGTCCAAGTGTTCTCATTGTTCAATTCCCACCTATGAGTGAGAACATGCGGTGTTTGGTTTTCCGTCCTTGCGATAGTTTGCTCAGAATGATTGTTTCTAGCTTCATCCATGTCCCTACAAAGGACATGAACTCATCCTTTTTTATGGCTGCATAGTATTCCGTGTTGTATATGTGCCACATTTTCTTAATCCAATCTATCATTGATGGACATTTGGGTTGGTTCCAAGTCTTTGCTATTGTGAATAGTGCCGCAATAAACACATGTGTGCATGTGTCTTTGTAGCAGCAGGATTTATAATCCTTTGGGTGTATACCCAGTAATGGGATGGCTGGGTCAAATGGTATTTCTAGTTCTGGATCCTTGAGGAATCGCCACACTGTTTTCCACAGTGGTTGAACTAGTTTACAGTCCCACCAACAGTGTAAAAGTGTTCTTATTTCTCCACATCCTCTCCAGCACCTGTTGTTAAACATAGTAGATTTTTAATAAATCTTACGTGAATTTGATTGAAGGTGTAGGCTTGTAATTAACCACAAAGTTAAGAGCCAGTGGTGATGTAATGTGAGTTCCAGAAAATACTAATGCAGGTCTGAGCTGAATTGATAGTGCACAGAGCAAGGGAGGTAGTAAGTCCATTTGCATCTTTGCTTCAAACCAATTCAAGGTCCTGATGCAGTTCTGGACACAAACTTTTATAGGAACATCAAAACAGTTTATCACCAGGACATTAAGGATGGTTAAGTATCTAGAAAATCATATCCTAAGAAAAAGTTGAAAGAACTGAGGCTTCCCCGTGAGCTGTTAGAGGGCTCTCTCTCATGGGAGAGGTATGAACTTAATATTGCTCCAAAGGTTAGAACTAAGGCCAGTGGAAACTCACAGCAATCAGATTAAGGAAGGACAATGTAACCCTTATCTGCCAATGGAATGGGCAATCTCCCAACTACAAAGTGGTGCATTTTCTGTAGTTGGCAAGTAATTGGATGATCATCTATTGGAGATTCTTGCTTTGTGGAGGATCAAGCAAGGTCTTTAATGTCATTTCCAACTTCAAAATTTCAATTTTCTACTTGAAAAGTGCTGAATTAGAATTTTGTTAAACTATGATGTCTGGGTTTTATATGAGTTATTTCAATACTTTCTTCATTATTGTTGCTAGAAACAAAATTTCTCTTTTTAAATTTTTATTTATTTATTTTTGAGACAGGGTCTTACTCTGTCACCCAGGCTGGAGTGCAGTGGCGCAATCTCAGCTCACTGCAACCTCTGACTCCTGGGTTCAGATAACCCTTGTGCCTCAGCCACCTGAGTAGCTGGGATTACAGGCATGTGCCACCATGCCTAGCTAATTTTTGTAATTTTAGTGGAGATGGAGTTTCACCATGTTGGCCAGGCCATGTTTCAACAAATTTAAAGTTCTAATTGGCTTGCATTAGTGATTCATGAATCAGGCAGCATGTCATCTTAAAAATAGATAAGTGGTCTACTGAGCATGGCAGAACAGTTAGTTTTTATAAGGTAGCTAGAGCAGGAATAAGAAAACAGAATAATACAAAAAATGGATTGGTTAACATAAGGTACTTCAGTTACTTTCCTTGTAAGGGTTAAAGCACAGGGGACTTCCTTACCATGCCACTTCAGGTTGACTGGGCCCCTTCTGACTGGTGGCTGTGAATCTCTTCTTTTGGAAAAACTGATCTGTTTAAGATTGTCCTGCTTCCTTAAAGTTTCAATTTTATTGCATGCCACTTAGCATGACTGACTCCATTTTGGTTTGGTCTGTTAATGCCTAGGGTAGGCGCTCAGTCCAAAACAATGGTCTCCTATAAATTTTATTTAACATGATAAAGGATATATAATGTTTTTCATTATAATGAAAATAACTTCCAAGTCACAATCTACTGTTTCAAACAATATCTAATATTATGATGTTCCAATAAAAGCAAGTAATTTGGAAAGTTTCTAAGCATTGTAATAGGACTTGAATTATATAGTGTATGTTATTGCCACATATCAACTTAGTGAGAAGTGAATGGTTTTTAACTTTTAACTATTATTAAAGAATGTATGCATAGCTTCTTTTTTAATATTCTAATTTCAGTGCTCAAAGATCCACATTTCATTGGACAGTATTACAAATGGAAGAAAATGGATCTACAGCATCATAAAGAATGGAATTTAAAGTAAGAAACATTAAGTGCCTTGAATGTGTACATTAACTTGAATTGTCTATTATTGCACTTTCTACTATCCAACTTGGAAATAACAGAAGAAACCCTTGGAAATAACAACTTACACCCTTTTATCAGTATAAGAACAAGAACAAAAGAAACGATCATTCCTTGCTTTCACATGAACCCAGGTAGGCAATATCTCTACTACATATTTGCTGCCAAAGATGGAGATAGAACATGATCCACAGTGGAGAAATCTCATAATATCCTCCCCATTATTTCTCTTACTCTCATTTCCATCATTCTTATCAACATGTGACTTAGAAATGGCTTTCTTTAAAAAAGAAAAAAAGCAGTAAACTATATATCATCAATTAGCTTTTCGTCCTTTTTTTTTCCATCCTTTTTGTAGCTCCAAACATTGTTTCTTCTCCCACAGATTTCTCATTCAAGAACCAAATATATTAAATGTAATGAGGAAGGATATAGTAAAATACAAACAAAAATTAGTATATCTTTAGAAGTCATTGACTCTTAGACTACATTAAGGAAGGAACTTTAATCTCATCTTCGGTCTCTTGACCCCTGAAGGCAGTTTTTCTGCTTCATCATGTTAGAGCAAAGATGCCATTTCAGTTCTGTGGTATTGGCTGTGTTGTGCTAGTCATTTGTTCTGGTGTACTTATTCCAAGGTACTCAATGAGTGTGCTACCATAAAGATAGGGGAATTAAAGATCCTATTCTTTACATTTGTCTCATTTATCTCAATTTTTAACTCTTCAATTTACTGTTAACCATGTGCCCTCTTTTCTAGATGGAAATACATGATGAATAAAGATAATGTGTTGTATTTTGAATTTGTGAAGCAATTGAGGAATTGATATATTACTTTCACTGAGTATATTAAAATATACTTCCCTATCCTTTAACATCATATAGTTCAGACTGAGTTTTTCAGTTGTATTTTCTTTCTTCTGTTGATTCTGTAACAACTTTCAAGCTAAAGTAGAGAAGAGCTTTTGCATTGGATATACTTTTCTGCTTTCAGGGTAAATTACAGGGAGTAGGAAGTTTTTATCAAGCAAAATTTGAAGGAGTATAAGCATGTTTTTTTTCTTGAAGGCATGTTTTAAGTTTCTTTTAGAGTTGAAGAAACCTACTTAGAATATAAGGTTAATTTTGCTTTGACGTGACTTTCTTTTTTATTTCCTTTAACAGAACTGTTTTATTTGTTTGATCATCGATTCATTATGTAATGCCAACATCCCGCAGAACCCCAAAATTTAGAAAAAGTAGAATCATGTCATTTTCAATTTATCCATCCACTTCTACATATGGCTAAAATAATTGTGAGTTGTTTGAGTGCTGGAACATTTTTCCAAATACATTATTTCAAAGTTACAGGTCAAATTATCATGTGCATAGTGACCCTGTCAAAATAAAACCCTCACACCTTATGCCATCTGGTGGTTGATGAGAATATATTTAGATCAAATGGTATTTGCTGCTTCAAAACGCTGGTGTTGATTAGTCAAAAACCCCACTATTTAAACAGTTTTAAAAATATATTACATGTATCTGCATTTTATTGTGGCACAAATATTGACTATGCAAATGTTTGAGGTATAGTAAAATCTAAAAAAATCTAAAGAATGGCAAAATTAAACTTCTTTTCAAATTATCAAAAGTCGTGTTCGTCAAAATACATGCGATATGATAAAGAGGACAATTCATAGAGAATCAAGTAGAAAATGTCTGGGGATCTATGCACATGAGTAATATTCTGCATGCCATATTATGCATCTCTCAGTTTTTAATCTTTGAAAATGCTTTTCTGACGCTGCAATTTCCTATTTCACAAAAACAGGAAATGTAAATTGAGAACCCTTTCTTTGCATAGCATTGAAGAAAAAGAGAAACCTGTCTCTCCTGCTACTTCCTTCCCTACCCTCATCAATCAATACCCTATTCTTGAGCCGCACTGAATTCTCTTTTCTCACAATTACTTCGGGACCTAAGACGTCTTTACCACTTTGTACCTTCTGCCTCGGATCAGCGAGGTCTTTGCTGCTGGTCCAGAGCTAGGATTTGGTTAGTTAAAAGGTGGAATGTGGAGCTCTTAAGCGCAGGGGCACTGGAGCCAGACTGTCTGGATTTGAATTTTGGCTCTGCCAATTACCAGCTCTGTGACCTTGAGCAAGGTCACTGATTTTTTTGTGCCCCAGATTTATCTGTTAAGTGGCAGTAATAAGTGTACCTACCTCCCAGGGAAGGTGTGAGGATTAAATAAATTAATATACGTAAAATGCATCAAACAGTATCTGGTGCACGGTAAGCACTCATAAAGTTCGTTATTATTCATGCTTTTAAAACTTTACTGTGGCCCTCATTCAATTTTCAGATGAAAAATCTTTCTTTGGAAGCAGGATAGGGGAAGAGCATGAGCTTCAGAGTCAGACAGATCTTGGAGAAATTCTTTCCCAATCTGTTTTCTTATCTGTTAAATGGAGATAACTTTACCTACCTTGCAAAGTTGTTTTGCATTTGACACTTATTATTTTATATATAGATTTCATTCAAGAAATATAAATATGTGATTTCATTCAAGAGATATAAATAAAAAATTATATATAAATATATATAATATATATAATATGTAAGTTATATATATAAAATAAAAATTAATATAGCATCACACATAGGCATTCGATACATTTTAGTTCCTGGGAAGAGGAGATGAAAGTTCATGCCACCCAACTTTTCAGAGAATAAAAACAATCTGTTGGAAACATGTAAAATTTGTCTTTTCTCAGGTTAGAAAACAACACCTGTCATAACCACGTTTATTGTAGTTCCTATATGCCTCTGGTTCTTTTTCCTTCTCTACTCCACCTCCATCATTTCTTCTGCCTGGTGAAATACTTCACAAAGGTGGTGTGAAGAGCTGAACCAAATGTCTTTCTGTGGAGACAGTCACTGACAAGCTCAGGCATTCACAGTTACCCCATCCTCTCTCTCCATATTCTCTGTTCCCACGTCTTTCAGCATGTGTGATGTAGAAATTCATCTGTTCATGAAGAGGGACCAGGGCAAGGATGTTAGTGTCCCTTTGCATTCTCTGTACCTAGCATGGTGCCTGGCAAATAGTAGGCACTCAATTAATGTTAGTCGAAAGATGCGTCCTCACCCTGTTTTTTCAATTAGTATTAGGATTAAATGTGAAGGCAGTTAATTGTAGAAAAACAAAATTTAGTTGCAGACTTTTAAGGTTTATCATAATGTAAAGATTTAGGGTTCCATTTTGGGAGTTCTAAGGTGTCATTGGAAACAGCGATTGAAAACTGCAAATGTAAATGGCTGTCATGAATGTTTTATGCAAAATCTCTAATTTGGCAAGTCTTTGTTATTATTAATAGAAACATTGTCATTATAAGCAGCTCATAAATATTCATTAATCAATTATTTGGTTTGGTGTTCCTTTCTAAGGCCTTTTTTCTTTCCTATTGCCTTGAGGGTCTTTTGTATTTATGAAAATGCTTTATTTCCGCTAAAGGATATGAATCTGTAATCTAATCAGTAGTTTGTATTTAAGTTCTCCAGAGAAATAGTAAAAGATATAAAATCAGAAAGCAACGAAAGCTGTTCTTTTGAGTGTTCTTGGTTATGCACATATAAAACTATGTTTGTGCCATACTCTAGCTAATGATTGCTTCTGTGACAACAGAAAAATCTTTATCAGTATTCTAAGCTTTGGCAGCTAGCAAGTTGTTTAAATAAAACTTATCAGTTCTGGTGGTGGTTTACATTCGGTGTCGCTTTAGAAAAGAATATTGATTCTTGTTTATACCGAGGAGGTATGGAAGGAACTGGAACTAACATGGCTGAGTACTTCCTGTTTGCCAGGTATTCTCCCTTCATTTCGTAATTCATGCTGGCCATCCTGTGGAGTTGACAGTCACGTGTGTAAGTGTAACCCACAATAATACCCATCAGCCTCCTTCAAAGCCACAACAAATCAACCTGTACTCCAAGTCAGACCACTTTGCTTGCCTTGCTGACAGCCCAAGACCTGATTCCTAACCTCCTTTTCAATGGATGACTGCCCCAAGACCATCCCCCAACCCCTGATGCCCCAGACATTCTGTAAAGGTAGAGACAGATATTATCCCCCGTTTACCAGGAGAGAAATGGAGGCACAGAGATTAGCGAGTTTTCCTCAGGTTATTGATAAACATAAATTTTATTTGCAAATTTAAACTGTTTCTTACTTGCCTCCTAATATATACTTATTAAAAGTTTAAATTGTTCAGGTAAGTGTAAAAATATTGCCTACCCAATTGCAAGTACAATCAAGTCTACCTTTTGTGAAAAAGTTGTGTTTTTTCTCAATATTAAATTCTATTATGAAATAATGTTAGTTCTTTTTTTTCTTATATGTAAAAAAAGAACATCTGTGCAATATCAAATACCAATAAAAAACTTTCTTATATTTGTAAATAATACTCTGGACTTAGTTGTCCTGTCTTTTAAATTAAGGGGCTAGTCCATATTTTTTCTACATTTCTTTGGTGTCTGATTTTGTGAGCATGTTTTAATTCACAAAAGATAAGTAATCTTTCTTTTGGTATACCTATGTTTGATCCCCTTTATATGGAAAACATTCATGCTGAGTAGATTCTTTTAATATATGTTTGTGCTGTCCTTTCTGGGTTATTGAATTTAAACATGATTTTTGTAAGTTTACATAATTATATATTTAATGCATTTTTAAGTAGTGCTCCTTGTTTTATTCCCCAAAATTAAACCTTGACTGCCATCTTGTGGTTAACAAGTGAATTAGCATTAGAATGGACATTGCCTGTATTTTTAAGTACAGACGTGGGAAAAATTATAAACAAAGCGGGGAAAATCCTTTAGGAAAAAATGACTTTTGCCAAGCAACTATTTAGTCTCTGCTTGGATGTTTTTAAAGATAGGAAGCTTGGTAATTCAAGAAGCATTAAATAGCT